TGGTGGCCATCCACTTGTATCAGTGTAATGGAAACTATGAACAATGAATTAATTAAAGTTGCCTTACAACAAAATTTAATTTTAAAATATGCAGTGATTACATTATGATACTCACTAATATCATCCAGTATAGTTTGTCCCAGTGATACATTAGTACTTATTCTACACAATACATTAGCAAATGTATGTAAACTGTTGGGATCAGTTTGAACAGCTTCTTTGACAGCAGTTAATAGAGCCTCACGTTGATTAGGAATAGAGGGACTAGCTGACACCACTCTACTAACTGCTTCTTGTGTTAACATACGTTCACCATAAAGTAACCAAGCAATACTAACAGAATCACAAAGAGACTGAGACAGGACAGTATGACGATTATTAAAAATATTAATAAGAACATGATGATCTATGATAAAAAATACAATGATTATAGTTACATACAGTAATGGTTGACTCACTTAACTTCTCAGCTACAGCAGTTTCATTCATAGATCGTAGAGCATCTGACAGTGAGTCCAAGTTGGCTCCTCCTCTACTGTCAACATCATCAGCTCTACTTAACCATTGGGAGAGGCACTCTGTCATACAACGAGATACATCATTAGGATGATTCTTTTCTATGACGTCCAGTGTATCCTTCCTTAGTCTTAGTCTCAGTCCAAGCTGATACCACTTCACTTCAGGAAAACCACATCTCTTCAATAAGTCAAGAACATCAACAAGATCAATGCCTACAGAGAAAAATCTTATGATCAAAAAATGTACCATGCATAAATCAGGAAATTTATGTAGCAGAAAATTGTGTATCAAAACATTTTGTAATAAAACTGTGCATACTTAATGCCTTTCTACACTATAAAAAATACAGCACCGGTTTAAAACAGCATTCAATAGATAACCAATGGCAGCTGGATCAGAAATACTATTATAATACAAGATCCTGAAGATAGTGTGAATCATTCACTTGATGCGCATTGAGTTCCAAACCAGGCCTTTAATTATTAAAAATCACACATTAGACTATGTGATGTAATTTCTAATTCAGTAGAATTATATATTAAAGTCACAGTAAAAATTCTAGATAGCTAGACAGTACTCACTATACTGATTACCTAAACAAGTTTGACTAGTAGCCATAGCTACAAATTAATCCTGTCCTGACGCCAGGACCTCACACTGAACCTTTCTTTCTTTAGTTTCC